GCCTGGGTCCCCGGGCCGGGCGGGCGGGCTCGGGCTCCTGCCCAGCGGGGCCTCGACGCTGCGGCGCTGCTGCCGGTGCGGGTTGCTGCCGTCTGGGGCGTGGTTCGCCGACACTGTGCCGGCTGGTTTCCGCCTCTCAAAAACTCAGCTCTGCACTTGGAGACATTTTACGTTTGCAGTAGTTTAACTATTTTAATTTAGCTTTTGGGAGGTCTAAATCTATTGTTTGGTGTTTCCTCTGGCTCATTACACTGGCTTAGGTAAATTTTTTTTTAACAGTCTCGCCATGAACTATACTCACTAGTTCACTGGCCTTGAACTCAGGGCCACTCTCCTGCCTCGGCCTCCTGGGTAGTGAGTATGGGGGTGTCCCGCCACGCCTGGCTAGTATACTTAGTGGTCTGATTGTGAACTGATGGCTTGCTCTTAATCTGCAGGAGTCTGTGTGTATAAACTGGGGAAGTTCTCCTCCAGGCAGGGATTCAGTTCTGCTGTGGATGGGGCTACCGCTGACAGGACGACCCAGCCCCATTCTGAGCATTACAGCTCAAAGCAGGGAATTCCAGCTGTAGTTCTCACCTGCCGCCTCACCCCTGAGCTAAGTCAGCACTGCCTGATGATTACGGCTCCTCAGGAGTCACTGTGGAGCGTCAGCGTGAGAGGAGAGGACGGCTGCTGTTTGCCTTCTCCGTGGAAGGGGCCAGTTTCCGTCTCTGAGTGACTGCTGTCATCCACTAGGGGCAGATGTCTGCAGTGCACCTTGGTCCGTGGCCACCGAGCGAGGGTTTGAGCTCAGAGCAGCCCGCTCCAAGCCGCCTGCCCTCTTACCCCAGTACACATTTTCTTGGTTTCTCTCTTCAGGGAAAGGTGTGTTTCTAAAGACCCCTTTTGGTGAGACCAGCAACACATCAGCAACATACATGGTGTATTGCTGCTTTCAACAATCTTCTGAGCATCTGTTGTGTCATAATGCTGAACATGTCCTCCATGTCATGTAACATCGTGTCTAATAAAGCTACTAATATTTGAATATGTTTTTCAGTGTAATTGCCAGAGTTATTTATTAAGTTAGATTGAAAAAATGACTGTTTATCCTTGTGGATCTGAAGAATGTCATAAACTTAAAGAGGCTAAAGTACTGTGCCAACCCCTTTCCACTGATCTGTCCAAATACCACGTTTCAGATCATTTCTATTTCTAGTCCCCTGTTCCTTCAGACCATAAACACAAAGATCTGGATTATGCTAATCTTTGTATGACACACTCTCATCATTGGTTCATGCTTTCTTGTTTTTGTTTTGTCTTTTTGAGACAGGGTCTCGCTATGCATTTCAGGCTGGCCTTGAGCTCACTATGTAGCCCAGGCTGGTCTCAAACTTGCAGTGATCCTCCTGCCTCAGCCTCCTGAATGCTGGGATTACAGGTGTGTGCCACCATGCCCGGTCCATGCTTTATTATGATGTGTAGTACTAAGCATTCATGAGCACACTATTTCAAACAAAAAATGAAACTTTGACCCTGGGCATGGTGGCACACACCTGTAATCCCAGCATTCGGGAGGCTGAGGCAGGAGGATCATTGCAAGTTTGAGATCAGCCTGGGCTACAAAGTGAGCTCAAGGCCAGCCTGAACTGCATAGCGAGACCCTGTCTCAAAAAGACCAAAAAACAAAACAAAACAAAACAAAAAAGTGAAACTTTTGATAAACATCATACACGTAACTATACAGATCCTCCTCTACACACATTTCTGTCTTGTGCACCCTGAAACCCATGCTTATCGTCCCTGGCTTTCCCTTGTAGGCAGTTTTGCCACATCTGTACTTTTCTGAAAGTGACGAGGGCTTTGTGTTGTATGTAATCCTTTGGGGTTTGCTCTTTTCACTTCATTTTGCGTTTCTGGTGGTCTCTGGAAGAATTTTTTTTCAAAGGTCCCACGATTGTCTCTTTACTCATCCTGTAGGGAATCTTTATGCCTGCTCAGGGTTGACCTGCAATTCATTGATCTGGGATCTATGGGAAATTTTATAGCAGGTTCTGGAGGATCAAAGGCAGGATGGGAAAATGTGGACTGCTCTCCTGGAGACCCAGCAGGCCACGTGGGGCGTGGCCACTGCTCTCCTAGCTGTCCTTTCATCCCATCGGAGGGAGTGGCCTTGTTAAAATGCTTCCCTGTACAGCTGCATCCAACAGGGGCCACTGGGTGTGGCCGCTCCCGCCAGGTGCAAGTGGTCGTCGGGTGACTCGATGACTGTGAAGACTCCTGTACTTTATTCCCAGGACCCTCTTCAGGGGCTTAGAAATAGTCTGCACAGATGGGAACCATGACAGTAGCCACAGGCCATTCCACCAGCTGGAGCAGGCGTCTTCATAAACCATAAACCTGAGACGAATCCCAATCTGTTTCTCAATTTGTCTTAAGTCATACTCTGATTCTACCTGCTACTGTTTCTGCAGAAAAAGTTCTACTTGCTGTCCTAGTCTGTACCTCAACCTTGAATTCTAACTCTTTTGTCTTTCAGTTTCACACCTTTTTCCCAGCCTCCTCAACATTACTACCCATCTCTTTTCTCTCATTCCCCTTAAACACTGTAAACTGCTATTCAGTTAGCACTCAACCATAAACTAAAAACAGATAATTTTGCACTATGTATCTTTTCATCTAATCTACTCTATGAGGCAGTATATTAGTTTTCCCATTTTACAGATGAGAAAACTGAGGGTCACTGAGTTTGGCCAAGTTCTACTATCTAGTGAAGCTATATTTGAATGTACTTTTAAAATTATTATTTTAAAACATATTTATTTATTTAGGTTTTTTCCCTTTTTTTTCTTTTTGAGATAGGGCCTCATTTTGTAGCTTAGGTTAGCCTTGACCTATGTAGCTCAGGCTGGTCTCAAATTTATAGTCCTCCTGCCACGGCCTCCTGAGTACTGGGATTATATACCACCATACCTTGCTTTTTTTTTTTTTTTTTTTTAATATTTAAGGTTACAGTACCCTTGGCTTTAAGTGAAAGAAAACTTAAAGTGCTCTTAACAGTAATGAAATTAAAAAGTTAATTCATTGGTCTTCAGTACTATCAAACAGCCAGGCCTTTCTGTTCTACCAGCCATCCTTGATGTACTTAGGATTTTCCCCCAGGTTAGCTTTCCACAAGGCTTTAAGATGCTTGTGAAGTTCCACTGTCACAGCTACAGAATGCCTAGGGGTAAGAACAGACGCAGTTTCTTCCCGGTCATGCTTTTTAAGGAGCAAACCACTTTTCCCAGGGCCCTCCCGCCGCAGCAGCTTCTCACACTGTCCAGAGTACCAGAGCCTAGGCCTAGCCAGTCGCGGCAAGGGCTGGGGCTAGTGTGCTGGGCCTCTACTGATCAAGCCTCATTTCTGGAGCTGGGTCTCCTCACCTCCCTGCAGTTCCTGGCCGAGGAACAAGGCTGGGAAAGGACATGGGAGTCGGGGGTAGGAAGCAGGGGGAAACTCTGCTGCCCACCGTGTCTGTGACGGAGCCTGAGGCCCAGGTTGTTACCTTGACCCTGTACTGCTATTCGAGCTTGTTCTCTCAGCTGCCACGCTCACTGGCAGATTCTTTAACTGTGAGCCAAGTCCCCCAGACTAACCCTAAATGACACACATGGCGGGCATCCTTGACAGAACAGCCAGGAACATGAGATGTGTTCCCTGGGCCCAGGACCCTTGCACAGTCCCCGAGGTACCAGTGCTGTGCTCGGTCAGCACAGGGGCTGTCTCAGCCTGGAAGTGGGAAGACGCCTGGAAAGTGGCCACCCTGGCCCTGATTCGCCCCAGAGCTTTCTGATCCTCTTCCTCCCTCTTTGAGAGCTGGTCCTCCTGGTCTGTACTTTTTCTTCTCTTAGAATTTGGATTGGTTTCTTCACAAAGTCTAACTGACTCCCTGGTCTTACACCCCAACTGGATCCCCATATTTCCTCCCCTTGAACGCACAATAAGAAAACCCACATTCACCTAGTTAACAGCCACTGATCTTCTGTGAGTATCAGAAGCTGAGACACCGTTAGACAAGGCAGGAAATTGAGTTTCAGTAGCTGTGTGCTAAGGGCTCTCTCATACACACTGGCTCACTTTATCCTTGGAACACCTTGGTAGGTCAGGTTATTTTAGCCTTCATATTATAGTTTAAAGTGGTGGCGCACGCCTCTAATTCCAGCACTTGGAAAGCTGAGGCAGGAGGATTGATGTGAGTCTGAGGCCTGCCTGGGCTACACAGTGAGACCCTGTCCCGTCCCATACTGAACTGAACTGAAGCGAACTGAACTGAACCGAACCAAACCAAACCAGCAAACATTTTTGTAGTTTAAGGAATTCGGGTTCAGCAGTTAAGTCACATAGGTCCACTCAAGGCCACAAGCTATAACGCGCCTCCGCCCGCCTGGCTGCGCATTCCTGTCCCCCTGTGCTGCCCCTGAGGTCTTCACTAAAATGTACATTTGGATGCCTCGACCCAGGCCGCACAGGAGCGGCAGGGCGGTGGTCCGATCTGCATTTGTAAACGAGGACGGAGGTGCCAGACTTGTCCGGAGTCGGGGAGCCTTCCTGCCTGCCTAGGTGTTCTGCCACCCTCGGTGTGCTGAGTGCCGCCTCGCCCCGAGTGGCTGATTCGCTGACAGCAGGCACTCCGTAAGTAGTCCTTTCATTTATATTACTGAAAAGGAATGCACCCCCGCCCCGGGTCTCTAGTTTCCTTTTTTCTGGCACCTCCCCTCTGGGCTTTTCTCAGAGACTTTTTTCCCCAGAAACTCCTGCCCCTCCCACAGAGACTCGCCAGGGCACACCTCACCTCACTCTGCCAGGAGTCTCAGAGCCGAGTGCCCACGGGCGTTTGCCTTCCCACCTCTGCCTCCTGGGGGTCCCGGGTGGCAGGACGGGGCGTCCCGGGCCCACACACCAGCACACGCCAGCCGTCTGCTCTCCAGCCCCTCGGCCCCGCCTCCTCCTCCTCCGGCCTCACAGCCCTGGACACAGTACACACGGCCCAAAGGCGTGAAACCGAAGGGTCTGCCTCGGTTCCCGGGGCCATGGCCGGCACCTGCACAGCGGGGCTCAACCCTCAGGATCCTCACTGCATCCCCGGGTAAGGCTCCTACCAGGGCAGCCCCACCGGCTTCCGGGAACACGGCTGGAGGGGCCGCAGGAGTTGGGTGGCTGAGGCCTTGGGGCCCCGTGGAAACAGTGGTTTGAGAGACCCAGGACTGGGGTGTATGTGGTGCTGGACAGGGAGGAAGAGCAAGGGAATAGGATGGCGGGGTCCGGCACACTGCCTGTGTTGTCTTCTCCATGGAAACAGCGTAACGGTGAAAAGGAAGAGCTGAATGCTCAGGCAGAGGCGCTAGAAATGCCTGTTGCAAGTATACAGACCACCGAGCCGAGAGATCCGTTTCAGAGGCCTCACTGCTGCCTCAGAGGACGGAGGGGCAGGGCGATTCTGGAAGTGATGGGCGTGTCTTGTGCTGCAGGTACACGGGACACTGCCCGCTGCTTCGGTTCAGCATGGGCCAGACCTATGGGCAGGTGACTGCTCGGCTACTCCGAGGCCCTCCTGGCCTAGCCTGGCCGCCTGCCCACCGCACACTTCTGCCTCCCATTCGGCCTCCAGGACCTCCTGGGCTGTCCAGGCGCAGCCTGCCCGCTAGGTGCAGGCACAGAAGGCTGCGCTCCAGCGTGACCCCTGGGTACACAGGTATGAACAGCGGCCCCGACAAAGAGCACGTATCCCCAACACCAACACCTCCTCGCCTCTGCCCGCCAGGTTGTGTCCCCAGGCACAGCTCATCTCTGCCAGGAGCTGCAGCCAGGTCTGGGCCGAGGCTCTGGATGATTTTGTTCTGTGGCCAGCAGACCAGGGGAGTCAAGAACTGGCAAAGGAGACAACGGGAGACAAAGACGGAGAGCCGGAGTCGGAGCGGGGCCCCGTGATAGCAAAGGCAGGCGCGGAGGGGGGGGGGGGGCAGGAGGGGGGCCGCCCTTCAAGTGCCCAGGCCTGCGGCTGGCCGTGGCCAGTGTGGCCTTGGATACGAGGGGTGGGGCCTGCGTCAGCACAGGGGCTGAGCTCCACAGGCCTACTCTTCCTCTATCGACCGCACTCAGGTCTCCCCCTACTCCATGGACGACACCGACCCCCAGAAGTTCTTCATGTCAGGTGAGAGGAGGTGAGCATGGCCAAAGGCGTGCAGAGGCTCCTCACCCACGTCCTGACTCTGCACCCCCACGGCCCAGGCTTCACAGGCTACGTGCCCCGTGCCCGCTTCCTCTTCGGCTCCAGCTTCCCTGTGCTCACCAACCAGGCACTGCGGGAATTTGGGCAGAAGTGCTCGAAGGGCAGTGCCCAGCAAGGTCCCAGACCTTTGCCCCCACCTCCCAGGACCTACCCGCAGAACCTGGGCCTTCTGCCTCACTATGGGGGCTACGTGCCAGGTGAGGAGGCTGAGGAGGCTCTGGGAACCGGAACCTGGGTGTGTCGGGGGCTTGGGAGTGGCTTGGGGGACTGCAACACGTAGATATGAGGGGGTGTGAGACCGCATCTGTACAGTGACTCGGCTTTGTCAGTACCCCGAAAAGGAACCTGAGGGAGCGCAGTGCGGTTAGACCAGATGCGGGACAGCAGTAAGGAGGGTCTGGGCAACTGGCTGAGAACTAAATGGCTTCTTCACGCCACCAGCCGTATGTGACAGACTCTCTCGGCCACACAGGTTATAAGTTCCTGTTCGGCCACACATTTGGGCACCTCACCCATGATGCTTTGGGCCTGAGCACCTCCCAGAAGCAGCTGCTGGCCTAGGTACCTGGTCGTCAAGTTCTCCTTGTCACCCTATCCCAGCCCTCTCTTGGAAGGGAGAGGTGGGCACGAGGGTGGTTGTGGGGGCAGAAAGAAAACGGTTTGGAGGCTGAGCACCTTTTTTATTAATAGGTGTAATAAATAAATAAATAAATACATAAACAGAAGCCGGGGCTCCTTCTCCCTCTTCTGATGACCAGGCACTGGTCACAGCCTATTTACAGTTTGGGGGGCGGAGAGGTCTGGCCCCAATACTGTTACCCATCCTCACTGCATTTTGTCCGTCCTCGTTCGAATGGCTTTCTTGGCCACCTCCCTCTGTGGGGACTTGTTTGTCTACATCCACGGAAGGGTTGGCCCGGATGGGCGGAGGAAATCCTGGCAGCCCAGCGCTACATCCCTTCCCGCCTTTCTGGGCGGAGGTCTGGACATAGTCACTGGGACAGTTAAAGGGGGCAATTAATACTGAGCACAGGGACACGTGGCCCCAGCTCTCAGCTTTACGGAGCCAAGCCAGAGGGCTTGGGGAGGGCTCTCAGGCTCTGAGTCCGGGGGTCACGAGGGCCCCTGAGGCCATCGGCATGCACGGGGCCTCAGTTTTGGCTGCTTCCAGCAGTTGGACTTGGAGTTGGGGTCAACGTCACATAGGCCAGAGGCACCAAGCCAGTGTCAGGGCCACGGCTGCAGCGCAGCCAGTCGGCCCCGGCCGGCCCCAGCACCCGGAGGGCGTCCCCCTTGCGGAAGCTCAGCTGTCCAGGGCCCGTGGCCAGATGATGGCACAGCGCCTGCACCTCGCTGGAGAAAGAGCAAACGGAGGTCAGAGAAACCGCGTCAGAAGCCAGACCCAGCTCCCCGCTCCCGCTCCCAGGGCTCACCACGGAGGCTGGGAGGGCGGGGCTGCGGCGCGCGGCTCCTGCGGGCTGTCCCTGGGCTCCGGCTCCCGCCGGGCACCCACCGTCTGCGCCACCAGCTGGAACACGGACCTGTCCAAACTGAGCCAGTCTGAGGGCAGCCTGGGAGGGAGAAGCGGAGCTCCGGCTCTGTCCGCGCCCCCGCTTAGGCTAGGCTCCCCCAGCCCCTCCGCCCACGCCTGGAAGGACTCTCACCTGCTCGTGGGCCGGGCTTCCCGCTGGGCTTTTCGGGAACCGAAGAGGTGTCCCCACCTGATGCCCCCAGGCGCAGGCTCACAGGTCCCTTCCTCACCGTCTGCCGGCAGGGCCGCAGGCCCCTCCCGCTCACGGCTGCGCCTCAGCTCGGCCAGCACAGAGTCCGGAGGGCTCCCCATCCAGAAGGGCCAGCCCCTCTCCCGGCCAAGGGCCTCCTCAGGGGCCGGGCAGGCCTCGGCCCCCTCCACGACTCCCTCCCGTGGGGGTGGAGCCGGGGGAGGCCCCCCGCCTCCCGTCCCTTTCTTTTTCTCACTGCCATTGCTGCCGCTGCTGCTTCTAGGGAACCTAGAAGCTTCTGTGGAGCCATCGATGTAGACCTGGGAGCTCTGCATGAGCTGATACCACCAGCCAGCCTGTCCGCTGCGAGCCCACCTGCCGTGCCCTGAGCCCCCAGCTGGCTCTGCCACCTCTTCTGACTCTTCCTCTTCCTCTTCTCCCCCCTCCGGGGCGCCCACACCCTTCACCCGCTCCCCTTGAGCTGTCCCGTCCGCGTCTCCAGGGCCACCCTGGCCCCGGGCCCGGGCCAGCTGCAGAGTCGAGTGGGCAGACAGCAGCAGGTCCTGGGACACCCGCAGGAGCTCCTTGTGCTGCCGCTGCTGCTGCCCACTTTGCAGCAGCCGGTGCTGGAACAGCAAGTCAAGGCTGAAGGGCAGCAGGGCCAGGGGCTGCAGCAGCAGCAGCAGCTCCTCGAAGAGGCCAGGGCACACGGTGTGAGCGGCGCTCAGGAAGCCCCAGGGCTGGTAGTGGGTCTGGATGATGTCTAGGGGAGAGAGAGAGGCACGGAGAAGCAGGGCCGGCCCGCGTGGGCCCGGAGAGGCAGCGGCGGAGCCCCTGCGTGCCGCTGCCCGCGGTACGCTGTGCAGGCCGGACGTGCCCCTGCGGTTGTGCAGCGCACGGACTCCACCACCCTCCGTGACAGCTCTGCAGCAGAGAGAGGCGTTGGCTCTCGGCACGCCAGCTGCCAGAGCGCCCGCATTTCCTGCCCTCTCCAAAGTTCTAAGTCAGGTAGAGGCTGGGAAGGACTCGGGCAGAAGTCAAAGCTGAGGGTGAAAGCTTGTGTGGCCCCCTTCACCACGTCTAAAACCTGGGAAGACAGTGACTTCCCCCTCTTCTGAGCCGCTGAGGTCTATACTGAGTTTGTGAGACATGTCAGGTTCTGGGCATTACCTTCGTGGTTAAACAGGTGATTAAACCAGAACTCCAAGGACCGGATGCTGCAGGGAGACAGGCAGAAAGAGTTGAGACTTGTTTGGAGATGGCCGGATAATAAGGGACAAAGAAAAGAGGACTCGGGGGTCGGACACAGGGAAGAAGTGCAGGCGGACATCCTTCCACGGCAGGGATGCTGCCTGGCCCACTTCAAACCATGTAATTCTGGGATGTCAGTGACGATGTGGGGAGTGGGGCGAACACACCATCTACAGCCAGTCACCTTCCCCTAGCGTGGAGTCAGCCTGCCAAGACCCAAGAGGTCAGGCAGCTACCGAGTGAAGGACCAAAGGTGCTCAGGTGGTCACCGGGCCCACACTTGAGAAAGAAAACTACAACCGGGTTCCGGCGTGAGCTCAGGGCTCTAACATGATTTGGAAGCAGAGCTCAAGTTGACAGGATCAGGGTTCACTACATAATTTCTGAACAAGCCAGGCCGTGGAAGGCCACGCTGGTGGACACGCTGGGACCAGCATCAGAGGACGCTGTGCGCAGGGAGGCGGCTCCCTCCAGGCTGCGGCTGGGCGGGGAAAGCGAGCCTGAGCCCCAGCACGGCTCCGCAGCCCCCACGGCCTCGGCGGGCGCGGCTGGCGGCCCTGCAGCAGGCAACGCTGTGGGGCCGCTCGGGAGCTCTTGCTGCTCCGCACACTCACTTGAGCAGGCCGAGGATGAAGGCGTTGAAGCGCATGGTGCTGCTGCTGAGCTCCGGGAACTGGCTCACTTTGTTGTACAGGCCGTGCAGGACCTTGGTGGATGGGCCTGGGAAGACGACAGGGTTGTCGGGCTCCAACTTCTGGAACCCGAAAGTCAGGCTGGGCCCCATCTTGCCCCCAGGCCTCACCCAGCTGAGTGGAAGCTTCAACCACACTCCACGGCATGTTCTTGCGCTGCCCCACGATGACGTCTAGCACGAAGGCCTTGAGCCCGTCCTCTAGCAAGGCCTGGACTGCAGGGCACAGGTACTTGAGGACAAGGTGGCCGACGTTGGGGCTCACAGAACTGTTTCCCAGCTTTGCCTGCAGGTGCAGTGAGGACGTTCAGGAAAGCCTTCACTCTCCCCTAGACAGCCCTCTGTCCCCGCCTGGTGCCCGCTCCTGAGTGCCAGCCCTGTGCTCTGAGAACAGAGCAGGGCAGGCGGCAGCACACGTCAGCGAGGGCGACTGGCGAAGCGCAGCTCTGCACGTTTCCCTGCCTACCTTTACCCCGGGATCTCGGCTTGTGCCAAAATGGGCCACAATGAGGTCCACGGCAGTATTGACAGCTTTCACCAGTCCTGCCAAGAAGAATTTGACGTGTCAGGTCTCTGAGCAAGGCCCCAGCCGGCTCGGAGGAGCCCCGGGCGGCAGGGCGAAGCGCTCCCACGCTTACTGGCAACCTCCACCCACGTCCCCAGCTTTCACGCAGACATCCAGGTCTGGCCTTCTGTCTGTGCCGCTTCTCAGCCACCCTTGTCTTTACCTCCTAGCCTGGACCCACCTCAGTGCTACCACTGTCCAGACCCTCTACTGCAGTGGCGTAGCGCTGAAGGCAACACTCACAAATCATTAGCCTTCCTGTACGTGAATAACAATCACTGAGAGAGAAATTAGGGAAGCAGCACCTTTCACAAAGCATCAAAAAAAAATAAAATAAAAAGAGGGCCAGGGATATAGCTCAGCGGCATAAGTGCTTGTCTGGCAAGCCTGAGGTCATGAGTTCGATTCCCGGTACAAAAAAAAAAAAAACAAAAAAAACAAAAAGAAGATGAAATACCTAGGAATCAATCTAACAAAGGAGGTAAAAGCTCTCTACATCACATACTACAGTACTCTGGAAAAGGAGATTGAAGAGGATATCAGAAAATGGATACCCTCTTGCTCTTGGGTAGGAAGAACCAATATAGTGAAAAAGGCCATACTTCCAAGACTGGTGTACAGATTTAATGCAATTATGATCAAAATTCCAATAACACATCTCACAGAATTAGAGAAAACATTCCTAAAATTCATTTGGAACCTAGAGTAGCAAAGGCAATTCTGGGCAACAAAGATAAGGCAGGGGGCACCACAACCCCTGACTTGAAATTATAAAAACCATGTGGTACTGGCAAAAAAACACAGCTGAGGATCAACGGAACAGATCAGAAGATGCAGAAACAACTCCAAATATACTCCGCCACCTTATCTTTGACAAAGGTGCCAAACACATTCACTGGAAGAAAGATAGCTCTTTAATAACTGGTGCTGGAAAAACTTGCTTTGCACATACCCAAGATTATACCTGGACCCATATCTTTTACCATGCACTAAACTAAATTTGAAATGGATCAAAGATCTAAATATTAAAACAGAAACATTAAATCTGCTAGAAGATAAAATAGGTAAAACTTTTGAAGACACTGGTGTAGGCAAAGATTTTATGAATAAAACCCTGATCACGGGGCTGGGGATTTAGCTCAGCGGCAAAAGCGCCTGGATGGCAAGCGCAACGTCGTGAGTTCGATTCCCAGTACCGGAGAAAAACCAAAAAAAAAAAAAAAAAAATTGCTAAAACCCTGATCACACAGGAACTATCAGAAAGAACCAGCAACTGGGAGCTCATTAAAAAGCTTCTGCACAGCAAGAGAAACCACCAGCAAAGTGAAGAGACAACCCACAAGGACGGAAAAAATGTTTGCCAGCTGTTCCTCAGACAAAGACTTACTGTCGAGAACATATAAAGAACTCAAAGAAATCAGAACTCCCAAATTTAAAGATCCCATCCAAAAATGGACATCTGCAATGAATAGACACTTCTCAGATGAATACAAACAGCAAATAAATATATGAAAAAATGTTCAACATTAGTGGTCATTCTAGAGGTGCAAATTAAAACAACACTGAGATTCCATCTCACCTCAGAAAGAATGGCTAGCCTCAAGATATCAACCCATAACAAATGCTAGAGGGGATGTGGGGAAAAAGGAACCCTTCTCCACTGCTGGTGGGAGTGTAGAATAGTGCAACCACTGTGGAAATCAGTGTGGAGATTCCTCAAAAAAACTAGGATTGAAGGTCCCATTTATCTGCTATTCCCCTTCTGGGTATCATCCCAGAATTAAAAACATCATACCACAGTGATATATGTGCACCCATGTTTATAGCAGCACCATTTGTAATAGCTAGATCTTGGAAACAACCCAAATGCCCATCAACTGAGGAATGGATAAAAAAGGTGGTCTTTTTATACAATGGAGTATTACTCAGCCATGAAGTAGGATAAACTTGAGACTTTTATAGGTAAATGGATGCAACTTGAGACCATACTCATAAGTGAAATAAACCAGATGCACATGTGTAGACATCGCATTGTCTCCCTAGTGTGAGAAGCTGAAAGAGTAAATAAGATCCAAAATGTACAACAGATACTGTAAAATTGGAAGAAGCTTCAAAAGGAAAGAGAAACTGGGGTGGGGGACTGGAGAAAAGAAAAGAAAGGCAAAAACAAACATATATAAGTGTATACAAAAGAAAGCTCAGATAGTCATACTACTAATTTCTCTTAGTCCGTTGAAAAGCTGGGTTTGTGCTAACGCTGTTCCGGACAATTAAAAGCCGATACCAGGTACTCTGAGTAACTAAAGAGAACAACAGGCGATGTGGTAACCGTCCTCACCCTATTGCCTTGTTTCGAGATTTTTTTTCTCTTACAAAGAAAGACCCTCCACTTCCTCCCTTCTAGCCCTGTTACTGCAGTCCAGGGTAAATCCAACGGTCAGTCTTCGGTGCTGTGGGAAACCAGGCCACTGATCACCACCGGGGAAGCCAGGGTCTTCACAGTGGGGCCGGACGAGGGCGGTTCTCTGGCGCCAGGCTCGCCAGCGCCCTGTGCTTCACACTCAACTGCCCTGATCTTCACCCTCTTCTCCAGCGCTGGCTCCACTTCCCACAGGCCAGAGCGCCCTGGCCACGACCCCCCCTTCCCCTCTCTCTCAAAGCGGTGCCGGCTTGTCTCTGCCCCTCCCGCCCTGCTGCCCCCTTCTCTCTGCCCCACTGGAGGGAGGCAGGTGTTCAGCTTCTTGCCCGAGGCTCTTCCCGCTTCTTTTTTTTGGACATTAGTTTATTGATCTTGTCACAAATGACCTAATATGGGGTCCGTGTGTTTAGTAAAGCAGCACATCAGATTTCCCTGGTTCCTTTAAAATGTGAGGGTGCAGAGGTAAAGAGCCACAAGAGGGGTACTGGGCCTACGCAGCAAGTTTGAGGTCGTTCAGCCTCCTCTGCGGCAGCCGTGAGGACGGCGTCTTCGCAGGTGACTCCCGGCAGGCAGTCTGCGTGAACGCTGGGCGGCTGGGCACAGCGCGGCGGGTGCAGCTAAGCTGCCTTAACGACTGACCACACCCTCCGATGAAGCCACAGAAACTCGGCTGCGCTCCCAGGTGCTGGAGGAGGGCCAGCCGTTCCCGTCCAGCCTTGAACTTCTCACGGAGAAGCCTTTAATGAACGCGGATGTGCCGGGGCGCGGGCCCAGTGTGCGGAGCTCCACGTCCGTGCGCGCCGCCTTCGCCGCAAGGCGCCCGGCACAGCAGGGCTGTTCCCGCCGCGCAGCCTCTTCCCTCCCCTTACACCGCGACGCCCGCTCTCCGCAAGGAACCGCAGCTCCCTCCCCTCCGCAGGTCCTGCCCTTCCGCCCCCGCCTCGTTCGGTGGTTGCCCCTTCGCCCACCAGCCCGGTTCTCGTCGGTCCTCAGCGTCGAGGTCGCCAGCGTGCTCGCCCAGGCTGCTGGGCCCCGGGTCTCCCCTCGCAGCCGCTAGGGTGCTCCCCCTCACCGTGCCTGCTTAGCGCACTGAGGACGCGGCAGGAGCCCGACCCCCGCGCCCTCTGCGCGTTGCTGCAGTCCCCCGAGCCTCCCAGCACCCGGCGTTTTAAGGTGGGGGAGCGCGTTCTGCAGGCCGAGCGGGGCCACACGCACCTCTTTTTTGAAGCAGGTCAATGGAAACAGCGTCTGAGCTGCCATCTGGGGACAGACAGAACTCGGCCGGAGGCTTCTCCGTCAAGGAAAAGGGGTCCTG